GGCATTCGTTATCCAACCAAGGATGAAGAATGCGTCGGTGCTCGTCAGTGGCTCGACGATCAAAGATCCTGTCGTGGCCCTGAGTGTAGCTTCGGCCCTTTTTTTGCCTTCAGACCGAGCGACTTTTCACGCTGAGCCGAATGTAATCTCAATTGCTCTATCCACTCAATCATCCATCTTGGTAAGTTGAAAACCTTAAATTTCCAAATAACTTAAATTCGTATTCCTGTCCAAACTAATTTGATTGCTTTTCCAAACAGCGGGAAGACTCATAGACATCGGTCATCGTCATTACGACATTGTGGAGCCATTCAGCGTCCTTGAGCGTCAGCTGGAGGAAGAGAAGGGCAAGGTCACTGCAGCCCTCGCCGATCTGTCTGCAACAGCTTCAAAAGCGAAGGAAGAGTAAGCGAGGGCAACAGCTGCTCAATAGAAAGATGAACACGCCAATTTGTTCCGTAGGGCTGCTGAAAAAAGAATAAAGTTGATGGACGGCTCTCTGAAGTCAGCTCAAGAAGAAGTTTCAGCGCTGAAGGCCGAACTTGACTCTGAGAAGAAGACGGAGCAGTGCATTGAGGCGGATGCGGCCAAAGCCTTCGAAGCCGGCCTATTGAAGGCCAAGGAGCTTTACGCAAATGAAGCCTTGAAGTTTGAAAATCGAGGCTTTAAGAATGGATGGCTGAAGGCTTTGGCGATGGCTAAGGTGACTCTAGATCAGCCGATTCCTTACGAACAACTGGAAGTTGAACCATTGGAATCGGATCTAGAGGATCTGGACCCTCGATCAACAGTTTTGTAATAGATAGCTGTTATTTGTTTTTTGTTAGCTTTTATTAGTTTTTTGTTAGCAGTTTATTTCAGATGTAGGACATTTTCATGTAGAAAGTGGATGTAAACAGTTTATTAATGAAAATGTCTATTTTGTTATTAAATCTTATCATTGATGTTTGAAAAACAAAAGTATGTCATTTCAACTAAGATCATGACCTGTACATCTTAATTCGACAAAATAAAAAGTGTATAAAGTGGATGTACACAGTTTATTGAATGTTATCATTAAATGATGAAAAACAAATGTCATTTCAATTGAAATATGTTGAATAGATTAATAATTTTGCCCTTGCCCCAGCTGATTATTGAATATAACCGCCGAATATGTATAGTTCATGGGATCGGTTAGAGCATTGTAGTTATTTGGCGAAATGCTTTGAAAATAGGCCGAATAGATTGATGATTTTTCCCTTGCCCCAGCTAATTACTGAACATAACTACCAAATATGTATAGTTCATGGGATCGGTTGGGGCATTGTAGTTATTCGGCGAAATGCTTTGGAAATAGGCCGAATAAATTGATGATTTTGCCCTTGCCCCAGCTGATTACTGAGCATAATTGCCAAATATGTAAAGTTCATGGGATCAGTTGGGGCATTGTAGTTATTCGGCGAAATGCTTTGAAAATAGGCCGAATAGATTGATGATTTTGCCCTTGGTCGAATATATATAGTTCATAAAATCAGTTGGGGCATTATAGTTATTCGACGAAATGCTTTGAAAATAGGCCGAATAGATTGATGATTTTTCCCTTGCCCCAACTGATTACTGAATATATATAGTTCATGGGATCGGTTGGGGCATTGTAATTATTCGACAAAATGATTTGAAGCGGTTGCTTCAGGAATGCTACATCCATATTACATAAGCGCCGAGGGGGGGGGGGAAGGGCTAGGCGTACGTGAGTCCTGTGCGGTCCTTCAATATATTATGCTCAAATTCAATAGACTGCGAGAGGGAAAAGAGCATTGTGTTGAACTGAGGAAATTTGTATGTCAAGAAGAGTATTCTTTAATAGTAGAGGGGAGGGCATGACGCTAGCTGAACTAGATTTAGAAATGAATTGAGGAGGTAACGAACCTGCACAAACGAGTAACAGGACGTCGGAGGAGCGTAAGAGGCGTCGCTCCCCCCGTCGTCGAAGTAGGTCTAAAAGAGGGGGCGGGGTAGAGAAGTCACCAAGAAAGGAGAGGCAGCAATGAGGGAGCTCTCCCCGTTCACGAAACGAAACCAATAGGCCACCACGCCCATTGAGTTTTTTAGTTTTTGTTAGGAATAAACCGATGACCGAAGCAAATTCAATTATCCGCGATCCAAATGTGGCAGTCGAGTTTACTCGATAATTTTTTTTGCTTGAAGTCCAGCAATCAATGGCCAGTCGACCTGATTACAAAATTTTTCGAGAGGGCGCCCATGGAGCGGTAAAGGGACTATAAATCTTTTACGAAATCGGCTTGTGCCTTTGTGCCACGCGAAGAGAGATAGAACAGAAAGACGGCCGCATTTAGAGCTTGGAACATCGTGCAGAAAAAGATGAGAACGAGTTGAAAAATGCTAAGGCGTTCGAAACGCAGTCGACAAGTCAAATGAACTCGATTATGATGGAAAGAGTAAACCAGCGCCTTCTTGATCATGCCATTGCCGATTGTGATACAGCAAGCATGTTTGCAAGAGAAGCAATAAGAACGAGGGCCTACGAACAAGGCTTTTTTGATGATCGAAAAATTGGTATTGAAAAGACTAGGGAGAAGTTAGCTAATGATGTTTGCCGATGCGAAAATCATGGATTTAAGCAAGGATGGATTAAGGCTCCATAAGCCGTGGGTGTTGATTCGGCGTCACCTTTATATTAGAATTATAAGTTTCCCTTTGAAGCTTACGATGCCAAGAAAACTGATGATGAAGAGGGTGCCGAGCCGGAGAAGATTTAGATATCAAGAAACATTTTTGTATTTTTGAATTTGTTAAAAGCCATGTATTTGTACTTCTTCTGTGAAATAAATAAATATTTTGTTATATTGTTTTGTTTAATGTTTGTGTCTATTTGTGACAATTGTATGTTGGTCCATGCCATTCTATTGCCAAATACAAAGGGCCTTCCGAATTCGGAGGATTACTCCGTCGTTTGTGGTTACGCACGAAGGGCGCTCTGAATTCGGATGATTAATTGGCCCAAACGTGTTATCCACGGTGCTTTGAATTCAGAGTCTTTGTATGGACCTATCGTGATATCCACGAAGGGCGCTCCGAATTCAGAGTCTCTGTATGGGCTGATCGTGATATCCACAAAGGGCGCTCCAAATTCAGAGTCTTTGTATGGGCTAATCGGGATATCCACGAAGGGCGCTCCGAATTCAGAGTCTCTATATGGGCTGATCGTGATATCCACAAAGGGTGCTCCGAATTTGGAGGATTAATTGGCTGAAACGTGATCCACGAAGGGCGGTTCGAATTTGGAGGCTTATGCGGCCCAAAGATGATATCCACAAAGGGCGCTCCGAATTCAGAGTCTTTGCAGTGGCCAATCGTGATGTCGACGAAGGGCGCTCCAAATTCGGAGTCTTTGTGCCAATCGTGATATCCACGAAGGGCGCTCCGAATACGAAGGCTTAATTGGCCCAAACGTGATATCCATGAAGGGCGCTCCGAATTCAGAGGCTTTAATCAGCCCAAACGTGATATCCACGAAGAGCGCTTCAAATTCGGAGGCTTAATCGGCCCAAACATGATATCCACGAAGGGCGCTCCGAATTCGGAGGCTTTAATTTGCCCAAACGTGATATCCACGAATGGCGCTCCCGAATTTGGAGGCTTTTAAACCATTATTAACGAGACGACAATATAAAGGACATTGTATTGAGGAATTCATAGACATGTACATGTTAACGTGGCAGCAAGAATTAGAAACAAACTAGCATGCCGTACAAGTTGGCTTAATGATAAAATTTACGTAGATGTGTGGACTTCTAGGGGCGTGGCAAACTTCTGCCAGCCATGTTTGAAAGTCAATACGCCCCTGTTCCGGCAATTGAATCAATCTGATAAGGGCCATCCCAGTTGGGGCCTAATTTACCGTCTGCTGGATTCTTTGTAGCAGGAAACACTTTCTTGAGGACCAACTCTCTAGGTGTATAATGATGCAACTGTACACGTTGGTTATATGACTTGGCGAGCTGCTGCTGATATCGCGCCACGCACGCAAGAGCACGATCTCGCAATTTCGACATTCTTCAATCAGAGTCAGATCTAAGGCCAACATTATGTCATTACGACCCATGTCAAAAACCTTGGTGTTCAGCGTGGGTAGGCCGATCTCAAGGGGGATAATTGCTTGCGTTCCAAAGCACAAAGCGAACGGCATTTCCCCAGTGGATCGCCTCGGAGTAGTGTGATGAGCCCACAACACACCGGGCAATTCTTCGGCCCATCTACCTTTGGTTTTTTCTAACCGTTTCTTGATGCCATCCAGGATCACTTTATTTGAGGCCTCAGCCTGGCCGTTGCTTTGCAGGTATGCCATCGAGGAAAAGTAAGGCTGGATACCATATGTGTTATAATGTAAGGCTGGAAAAGTAAGGTTGGATACCATATGCTTTGCAAGTAAGGCTGGATACCATGCCGTTGTCGGAGAAAAATGCCTTTGGTATGCCGAATCATGTTATAATGTTTTTTCATACAAAACATTTAACATCTATATCTCGAATATGTGTTAATGCCTCTGCTTCGATCCACTTTGCGAAATAATCTGTTGTGACGATCAGGAATCACTTATTCCCAAGAGCCCGTGGTAATGGTCCGACGATGTCAAGTCCCTATTGAGCGAATAGCCAAGGACTAGTAATAGAGTTCAATTCTTCAGTAGGTATATGAGTTAAAGGGAAAAACTTTTGGCATTGTTCGCACTTCTTTACGTAGTTCTCGGCATCTGTTCGCATGGTCGGCCAATAATACCCCTGTGCTACGACTCGGTGGGCTAATGAGCGTCCTCCACAATGGGCACCACAGCTACCTTCATGTATTTCGGCCAAGAGTTCATCAACTTTATTTGGGTGAACACATTCCAAGTATGGCCTAGAGAGAGATTTTTTGTAAAACTTTCACTGCGGATCCAGGTAGTATCGCAGAGCTTTATTTTGCAGTTTATGGGCTTCTTTCTTATCCGTTAGGAGCTATTTTAAGGAAAGGAATGCAGCAATAGGGTCCATCCAACTTGGTCCCGGTTCAATGATGTTAGCTTGAACTGGTTCAGAAGAGGAGATGCTTAGCTCTAGGATGAAGCCTACTTCGATTGTTCGTTTGACTTCTGAGTTAATAGTAGAGGCTAGACAAGCAAGGGCATCCACATGCGTGTTCTGATCCCGGGTTATCTGATTTAATTCGTGGTGGTCAAATTCCGAGAGCAAGGAATTCGCTGTTTTCATGTAGGCTGTCGTGTGGTCATTTTTAGCTGCATACTCCCCTTTTAACTGGTTGATGACTAATTTCGAGTCACAGAAAACAAGCAACCGCCGTGCACCAAGATGAAGTGCATTACAAAGCCCGTTTAGCAATGCTTCGTATTCGGCCTCGTTATTTGATGCATTAAAGCCCAGTTTGACCGCTTGCTCGATTATTGCCCCTTCGGGGGTTATGATTACTATGCCTTCCCTACTGCCACATTGGTTAGATGATCCGTCACAGTACATCTGCCAAATATCTCTAACATACATTCGCCAGTTGGGTTTAGATTGCACTTGATCAGACTTGAAGTCGGCATGGCATCCCATGAACTCGGCTACAAAGTCGGCAAGCACTTGCCCTTTGATGGCGATTCTAGGAAAAAACTGGATATCATATTGGCCGAGTTCCAAATCCCATTTCGAGACTTGTCCTGATGCTTTCGCCCTGCGGATCGTTGACTGGAGGGGATAGTCCGTTAATACCCCTATGGTGTGAGCCTGAAAATAGCGCATCAATTTTCTTGCAGCCACCATGAGAGCAAGGATAAGCTTTTCTAGTGGTAGATATTGCATTTCGATGTCGACCATGGCCTTGCTTACATAGTAGATTGGTCGCTGTTCCCCAAGTTCTTCCTTTAGTAGCACTGATCACCCGGTCAGATACTACCAGATATAAGATGAACGGATCACCTGCTGATGGAGTTGCCAAGAGTGGTACTGATAGGAGATAAGTTTTCAAGCTGTCCAGCGTAGCCTAGCACTCAGGAGTCCATTCAAATGCTTTGCCCTACCGAAGTGTGTGAAAAATTTGTCGGCAGCAATATGAGGAATGACTGATAAACCTATTCAGGGCGGCGGCCATCCCCATCAACTTTTGAACTTCTTTGATCGATCGAGAGGAGCCGAGTTCTAGAATTGCTGTGATCTGCCTCGGGTTGGCCTCTATTCCATGATGGTTGACAATATAGCCAAGAAACTTTCCGGATCCGATGTCGAATGCATATTTCGTGGCGTTCAGTTTCATCTTGTACTTTTGAGGAATGTCGAAGGTCTCTGCTAAATCGGCCAAATGGTCGTGCTTTTCCTTGGACTTTACCACCATGTCATCAATGTATACTTCCATAGTGCGGCCGAGTTGTTCTTTGAACATAGTTGTAACCAGTCTCTGGTAAGTTGCCCCCGCATTCTTCAGTCCGAAAGGCATGGCCTTATAGCAATAGGTTCCCCTTGGGGTGAGGAATGCGGCCTTTTCTTGATCCTCCGAATGCATGGCAATTTGGTGATTACTCCTGTAGGCATCCAAAAAGCTCATGCACTGATGATGTGTCATTGCGTCCACAAGTTGGTCAATTCTGGGAAGAGGAAAACAATCCTTTGGGCAGGCGCTGTTTAGATCCATGAAATTGACACAAACGCGCAAAGATCCATTTTTCTTCTTTTCAACCATGGTATTGGATAGCCATGTGGGATAAGTGACTTCACGAATTGCCCCGGCGTCAAGCAATTTGTCAACTTCATCAACAACGACCGATGCATGTTCCACGGCTGACTGCCGACGTTTCAGAATGATTGGTTTGACTTTTGGATCAATGTTTAAACGATGCTAGGCCATGACTGGATCTCATACGGTGTCCACGCAAACACGTCAAGGTTGCCGAGTAAGAAGGATAGCAGCTCACGTCTATCAACTTTTCTCAAAGAGGTGCCGATCATGAAGAATTTGTCAGGACTCCCATTGATTTCGATCTGATCAAGGTCTTTAGTTGCCTTTTCGGTGGGGATTTTCCCAATGTCCTCGTGGCTCTCTCGATCCGGTACTTCAATCGAGTTTACTTCCAGTTCCTTTGGCCTCTTTGTAGCAACGATAAGATAGCATGCCTATGCCGATTTCTGAGAACCCCGAATTTTCTTGATGCCATACTCAGTTGGAAAGTGAAGTAGTTGATGGTAGTTGCTCGACACAGCCTGCATGGTATGCTACCAAGTCCTTCCCATGATGAGATTGTATGGTGATCGGAGTTTGACGACCAGAAATTTTACTTCTATTGATTTGGTACCCACCCGTACTGGTAGTGTGATCTTACCCAAGGGATACTCAGGGTTGGCGTTCAAGCCAAACAATTGGTAATCGGCCAGCAACAAATCCGAATCAGTGAAGCTGATTTTAATAAATGTCTTGTAGTATATTATTTCTGAGGTGCTCCCCTAATCGATGAGAACACGCTCAACTATGAATCTGTTCATGCGTAGCTCAACGACAAGGGGATCAGTGTGGGGGAGAGTTACTCCATCTAGGTCGGTGTCGTCGAAGCTGATCCTCCCAGTTTCATGGGGTCGTTTGGTTGGTGTGCTTAGCTTGTGGCAAGCTAGGTTGCAACTGAATTGTATGTACCTCGGCTGACAACGATAGGCTGTATATCATGTGAATTACGCCGAGTGGAGGTGAATCCAGCCGTAGGGCTACAGTGTTCGATGGATTGTTCTTTCAAACGTGTTGCGCTAGCCGGCCGTCTTGTACCAACTCTTCCAAGTGGTCTTTCAGTGCATGACAGCTGTCAGTATCGTGGCCATGGTCCTTGTGATATTCACATCGTTTATCCTTTCTTATTGTATCAGGGGGTCCCATCATCTTGGATGGCCACTTAAAGAACGAAAGATGTTGGACTTTGGGTAGGATCTTACTGATCGGCTCCGCCAATTCTGTATACTTCTTATCCGAACATCTTGTGCTCTTGGTATCCACTTGATATTGTTCGTTTGAATGGTGCGAATTGTCATGACCCAAACCCGTCCTTGTGGATTAAAGTCATAACCGGCCAATAATCATGAGAATATCTACGGCATCAAACAATATAACAAATATTAAAAAGGCCAAAATGGAAGCAGATTTAAAAACTTTGTCCAATGAGCTGTGCTTACATGGTATAACAAAATCATTCCAAAGGTATTTCATAATAACTCACACATATAAATAGAGTTAACATTTTATATACATCTAGGAACTTTCAGATATGCGGTCAGCTAAACAAAAACTCATATACATAGGTAATCCAACGTGTTCACCAAAATAGTAAAAGAGTAACAAAAGAACAAAATGGACAAAAAAAAGTCTCGTGTGTGAGACATTCAGGCTGACTCCTCAAAAACTTGACTTCCTCTCATAGTCTTCACCGAGGCTGGGTTTGGATGTCTCTTTGCTCACCTACATACACATGAATGAGAATGAACGAAAGCTCAATGAATAATATCAAATAAAGAAGTTACACGAATGAAAATTTGTTAACAAACATATCAAACGGCCTTAGGCCCATTCATATTTCTATCTAATACATCAAACGGCCTTTGGCTCCAACGTATCAAATGGCCTTGGGCCCAATTCATTCTTATCAAACAGCCTTAGGCTCAATTCGCTCGTGTCAAACGGCCTTTGGCTTAATCATTCATGCCAAATGGCCTTTGGTCCAATCATTTCTATCAAACAGCCTTTGGCCTAACCATTCATGTCAAATGGCCTTTGACCTAATTATTCATGTCAAATGGCCTTTGGCCCAATCATTTCTAGCAATCAGCCTTTGGCCCAATCATCCATGTCAAACAACCTTTGGCCCAATTATTCATGTCAAACGGTCTTTGGCCCAATTATTCCTATCAAACGGCCTTTGGCCCAATCATTCATGTCAACAGCCTTTGGCCCAATTATTCATCTCAAACGGCCTTTGGCCCAATCATTTCTAGCAAATGGCTTTTGGTCCAATCATTTATATGACGAATATCCAATTCAATTTAATAACTCTGTAGAACTCATACACAAGTGAGCATTTTGAAATAGCATGCTTCAATACATTCTTATTAAAATATTACTTACAGTGTTCTGCCGGTGGATTTGCCCTTGTGTTTGACCCTACACAATTTACAACATATCGGGTCACAAGCGAGTCAATTCGTTCTCAAATTGTTTATTTCTCTTAGCCCTCTTGCTTAACCCTTTAACTCATTTACATTGTTCAATGCATGCCTAAGAATGCTTACAAGTGACAGAGAATGGAAAACAGAACATAAAGCAACTTTTCAAATTTTCTAAAACAGGGCTCTCCGCTCGAGCTCAGGTTCGGTCGCTCGAGTGGACCCCTTTGGTCTGCATCTTTCAATTTACACTCGAGCGAGACTTTTGACGCTCGTGCGAGGAGTCATGCAAAGCAAGGTACGCTCAAGCACAAATTCGGCCGCTCGAGCCATCGTGTAATCTCTGCAAAACTTCTAGAAGCTACATTTTCACGCTTGAGCGACACTTTTCTCACTCGAGCGGATAGGTCGAATTCTGGGTTTTCCAGAATTCTTCTTGAAGCTCAAAACACATCTTCAAATGTCCAATTCGTGTATAACTCATCCAAACATGCAAGAATACACCTAAAAACATAATTTTGAAGGAAACTTTCAACCATAATTCACAATTCCATGGTTCCAATGGTTTTAACATGAACTCTACATATATACACAATCCATGTTTTGTGTCTTGCATAGACGAGCTTCAAGGCTTGAAACTAAGCCTCAATACTTGAAATTTATTACATTCATGTATTAAACAATCCTCAATGAAACATAACCAACATGCTTTGCATTCAAATATGCAAAATTATGGCCAATTCTCACATGCATGCATCCCATGATCTCAAATTCACCAAGCTTAGCTTAATTTATGCATTAAACTTCACGTATACTTTGAATTCACTTAGTTATGAACTTAAACTCATGAATTTGAGTTCAATTACTCACCTAGAAGCTTCAACTCTCATAATTTTAGCTAGTTCTAGAGCCTAGCCTTCCAAAACTTGAGTTCTCTTACAAAATCTTCAAGAATGGCTCATTTCTCTCTCTAGAGTGTAGAATCTTATTTGAGCTAAAAAATATGAGCTTAAGATTACTTAGCTCATTTATATAGGCTTTCCCTAATCACACTTAATTAGAACTAATCAATGGTGCTCTAATTCAATCATATTGAATCTAATTATTTTGATCCAAATTAATTTTTAATTAAATTTCACTATAGATTCTAAAAATCATGCTAAGCACAAAAATACAGTCAATTTCACTTTCTGACGCCTCTACGGCCTTCAATTTAAATTCTATAGTAGAAAATCAAATAGATTTTTTTGCACTAAATAGATAGGAATTCATACACACACATAATCATATAAGTAGCACTCAAAATCATATTAAGCACATAACCACAATCATAATTAAGATTAATTAACAAAGCACGGGACAGGGTTATCACAATCTTCCCCCTTTTAGGAATTTTGGTCCTTCAAACTTATTTTACCCCGTCCAGGAACAAATGTGGATAGCGCAGTTGCATTTCCTCCTCTTTTTCCCATGTGGTGTCCTTCCCATAGTGTTCATTCCATTGTACTTTCACCATCGAGATGGATTTGTTCCTCAACTGTTTCACTTGTCGGTGAATGATCCATTTTGGCCATTCTTTGTATTCTATATTCCCATCTAGAGCTATCCGGTGGTAATCAATCACGTGAAACGGATCTCGAAAATAACCCCTCAACATTGATACATGGAACACATTATGTATTTGTTCGAATCCCGGTGGCTAAGCAACTTTGTAAGCAATTGGACCAAGTCTTTCTAGAATTTGAAACGGTCCATTGTAAAAGGGTGACAATTTACCTTTCTTACCAAATCTCAGATGGCCTTTCATCAGAACCATGCGAATAAATACATGGTCGCCAACTTCATACTCAAGAGGTATTCTTTGAACATCCGTATAATTCTTTTGTCGACTCTGTGGTATCTTGAGTCTTTGTTGGATGGTTTTAATTTTCTCTTAAGTGTCATGCACAATTTCGAGCCCAAGTAAGGCTCTATCACCGACTTCAATCCAACAAATTAGCGATCTACACTTCCTGCCATACAAGACTTCATATGGTGCCATGCCAATGCTGGAGTGGAAGTTGTTGTTGTATGCAAATTCTGCTAGTGGCAAATAATCCTCCCAACTCCCTTGGAAATCCAAGGTACACATGCTGAGCATGTCCTCTAAAGTCTGTATAGTCCGTTCCGATTGATCGTTTGTCTGTGAGTGGAATATGATACTAAATCTCAGCTCTGTTCCCATAGCTCTTTGCAAACTTTTCCACAGTCTGGATACAAATTTCGGATCTCTATCCGAGACAATGGATACCGGAACCCCATGTAAACGAACAATCTCATCAACATATATAGTGGCCAATCTATAAGCATTAAAAGTGGTCTTCACCAGCAGAAAATGCACAGATTTAGTCAATCTATTAACCACAATCCAAATAGAATCCATACCTCTAGGAGTTCGAGGTAGGCCAACAACAAAATCCATGGTCGCGTGCTCCCACTTCTATTCCGGAATAGGGAGAGGTTGAAGTGGACTGCCTAGTTTCTGATGTTCAACTTTAACTTGCT